ATAATACATTCAATTGCAACAGTTCTACATCTTTCAGCAGAAATATTTTACTTATCAAACATTTTTAACTGACTTTGCAACAATCTTTATGATTGAACATTAACGGATTAACAGAACATGAAGATGGCTGCCCAATCAGTAAAAACATTTGATAAATAAAATAGGTTAGAACTGCTGGAAGAGGTTAAAACTGTTGTAATCAAATGTAAAATACCAGTTTGAGAGACATATAAATATAAAATATTACTCAAATAGCATAATAAGTTAGTAATGAAATATATTATCAAAAGATATTAATAATGAAATATATTATAAAAAGGTATCCCATTTAAAATTAGCACAACTGAGATAATGAAACATTAATGCTGTGAATTTTATAGGGAATATTCAAAAGAAAAAGTGTATGAGACCAATCACAGAACTATACACAAACTAAAGAAAAGCACTTAGAGAAACAGTAACCTATCAACATTAGTATTTTAGATCACTTTAAGCATCTTCTAAGTTTCTGTAAGTTTAAATAATGTTAAAATAAAGTTTCTAATGAGTGTCTTTTACCTAAATTAATTTGTATCATTTCCAAAGATTAAAGATGATTTTATGTATGACATTCTGTATATTATAATTAATTCTTACAATTTTCAAAGTAGACTAATTTTTATATTTACAATACTATTTTTTGATCATTATTCAACAGAGCTTAAATACATTGCTTCAATATATTGGAGAGAGGAAAAAATTAAAATTTATTAAAATATTATTTTTTCATAGTTATTTATTTTGATAAATTTTAACAGTTTCTAAGAAAACATCACCATCAAAAAATTACACAGAACATGCAATAAGAAAAGTAAATAAATACACAACAAAAAATAAACTAACAAATTTACTTTCCTTAGATAAAATTACAATTTTAAAAAAGCTTTATTCAAGATATAACTATACTTCCAAGCAAATGTATTTAACAGTAAAGTTTTTAAACTTATAATGATGTATTTAAATACATTAATATTATTTATTCCTTCAAATATAAATGTAATGATTGATAAAACTAGCAATAAAATATTCAAATCTAGCATATACAGTGTACAACAAAGACATCATAGTATACATATATTAAACAATTATTACTCAAGAAAAAATAATATAAAGCTTGTGTATGCTAAATATGATTTAAGCACTTGATCAATTTTTTGATATATATATGAAAATTACAAATGGGATACCTAATCAACAAAGGTGCAAATTCATTATTAAATGTTAGGAAGTTCTTGTTCAGAAATGAACAAGAACTCCTAACATTTAATAATGAATAATCAAATGGAAGTTCTTGTTCAGAAATGAACAAGAACTTCCATTTGATTATTCATTCCTAATTTGTTAAAATTAGAAAATTTAACAATATGATTTTTAATTTTTACATAAAAATATATTTAAAAATTTTCTCAGCATTTAAATAATTTGTTTAATAATTTAACTAATTCAAATCTTATGTTCTTAATCTGCAAATGGTTCTCTAAAAATTTAATATATTTTCAAATTTGTAAACTTCTGACATTGAAAACGTAAGAAACTATGATTAATCAAAATCAAGAAATCAGGGAAGATCAGAATGTTCATTATGTATAAATAAATTTGAATTTCTTATGGTTTTTTAAGAAATCTTTTAAGATCAATGGTAATAAACAAACAGACTATAGCTGAAGCCCCTGTATAAAAAAGAAAATACTTGTAAAATAAAAAATTCAAAAAATGAATTGTATAATTAGAATACAGTAAGAATTGAGTTAGTTAAAAATATCAATTTTAAAACTTTAATGTTTTATTATTTATCCTGTAAAATTCACATTCTTTTAATTAATTTTTATGCACTAAATATATCTTAGAGAAATTATTTCTGATGAAAAAAACATTTTCTTATATTCATATTATCATTACCATCTTTACATGATGTTATAATATGTGATAAATTTATACAACATAATAATGTACATTATATACTGTATATGAATACAGTAGAACATCGATTATCTGAATATCAATCAACTGAAACATTGGTTAACCAAAAGCATTCCAGTTAGCAAATTCAAATTTCTGCTAATGCTAGTGCTAGGTTGGCAGGGAGGAAGTGAGTGCTGTGGCACTGCAGCACCTCTTCCTCCCTGCCAACCTAAACTTTAGGCCTACTTTAATATACTACTTTATATAAGATATGTATTTGTAAGACATGCGATACAAAATATATATACTACCGCTTTGTGTTTACTATATTTTTTCGTAAATGATCAGTTCTATGAAAAATCAGTTAACAACCCCAGTCCCAAATTGTTTTGGATAATCAATGCTCTACTGTACCATATAATATAAACTGATTTTACATATGTAAAAAATTTTTATGCTGTCATTATAAAAATTAAAATTTTTATTACAATTGACTAAAAATGTAACTTACTCGTAAAGTATTAATTTTTTTAAAATTATCAGCATCCCATTGCTTAATGGTTTTATCTTTACCTCCAGTGAAAAACATATGTGTCTTTGGTATAAACTTCATGCACATTATACTGAAATTAATAAATTTGAAGTAATAATTTATCAAAAGAGAAATCTGAATTATAAAATAAATAAAACCCACCAATATAATGACGGTTTTTCAAAATAATGATAAATAATATACATACAGTATATATATATATATATATATATATATTATATACTGTATGTATATTATTTATCATTATTTTATTTTATTATAATATTTACTATATTTAAATTTTTTCCTGATAATGAGTATGCAAAGAAATTAAAATAAATACAGAAAAAGTTCAAAAATTATGTAATTAGTAATTAGAAAATATATTTCCCTTAGTTAAATTATGCATAAAAATATATTAAAATATCAATTACTTGATTATATTTTAATTATTTCATGCTCCAATATCAATGATGTAAACAGAAACACAACATTGACATTTTTATGCTGAGATACTTCATCTTTGAATGCTCTTAAAATATAAATACAAACATCCATAGAAGTTTTTAAAAGCAGACTAACACTGAAACCATGGGAACTATCAACATCAGTCAGAGTTGTCCAATCATATTCCAAAAGAAACAATGACAAAAATGCAAATGTATTCTACATACATATATGCAGTTTTAGTTGTCAGTATCATAAGCTTTGACCAATTCCTTCATTAGTTGGAATTATTATTTATGTCTTCACTAACTTATTCATTTTTTTGTGATGCACATTGTTCCATGGAAAGGTTTGATGAGCCAAACATCACATTCTTATCCATCACTGACATTGAGTTATTATGGTAATCATTGTTTTTGAGATAAGCAAACCAGATCAAATGGTTCTAGCACAAATCTGCCTTAACAAGTCATATATTTATGATAATATCTAAATTTATTACATTAATATAATACTTTATTTAAATATTTATACCAATGGAATTATTGTTGAATTATAAAATGGCTATGTATTTTTTTCATGATTTTAATCCGATTAAAAAAACTGCACCATCTTGGCCTTTATTTTAGTTGATTTTTTCCAGTTTTAAAGAAGCAAACAAATATCTCTCAACATATATTTGAGCCTTGACTTATATTTAAATCCAATTAAAATTTTTTTCAATTTCAAAAACTGTTTGGTACATGTTATATAGTTAAACTAATGCTAAAATTTGGTATGTGTGATTGTTTAGCAATGCTAAACATTTGCCCAGTTGTGATCTGTCAAGCTGAAGCATGCAACCTATGCAAGAGAATTAAAAGTTTGGTGTGATTGTAAATAAATATTGAATATGACATTAAAATCAACAGAATCAGGCTTGGTAAGTTCTACAAAAATTTTATTTTAATAACTTTTTAATTTTATATAGGAATATCTACTAATCAAGCAATTGTCAAAAATTGAAGGGAAAGTTACTAGTAATTGAAGGGAAAATTTATAAATAAAATTTATTCTGTTGTAAATGTAAATTTTTATTAAAACTATAAATTTATGTATTTGATATGATTATATGTTTTAGACTTTATAAAAAAGCTTTGTACAAAAGGTTTTATACAGTTATAAAAAAAAAATGAAACAAGTAAAACTAAAAGAATGTTGTGGTTCACTTTTGATGTAATAAAATTGCAAGTAAACTTTCCAAAATACATGTGAAATATGCAAAGAAGCTTACTTCCATGTATGATGTATATGCTGAGCAGTTGCTTTTAATGCAATATTTCTTAAAGCCATTTATAATTGTGTCGTCAACATTCTTTTATAATTCTATTATTAATCTTTTACAAAAATATATGGAATTTTTATTCCACATATTTTTGTTCGAGGAGGCTGAAGAGCATGATAGCAATGAAACAGAAAACGGGAATGATGAAAGTGATAAGTTTCAATGACCTTCTAAATTTTATTAATATAACTTGCTAACTTTTTGCATGCAAACAAAATTAATAATAAAAGGTCAACTTATATATTCAGGCCAAAACAGTATTATATCTACCTACACAGCAATTAAAAATACAAAAGCGATAAATATAGTATATTAGACAAACACATTATTAATAATTAAAATTATCCATAAAAAAATTGTTGTGAGCATATTCTCAAATGATTTACTCTAGCTATAACTTCATACATTGTTATATATCTAAGTTTCATATATATTAAAAAAGTTATAATATTAAATAATTTATCATCATCATTAAAAATAATTACCTTTCATCATGTGCAAATATAGATCTATGGCAATCTCCAAAATCTAATCCCCATATTTTTACATTTCTATCAGCTGAACCAGTAATTATCAGATTGCTATCATATGAAATATCCATGCAAATTACTGGAAATTTATGACCAAATAAAGATAAGAAAAACTGAAACAAAAATTATAACTTTATTAATAAAATTATATAAAAATTGTTTTTATTATTAAATTATCGATGTAAATCAAATTAAGATGCATGTATTAAATATAAGAAATTTATTTTCAAATTTAACAAAATAAATATGACATTAAATTACAAAATTTTAATGAATTTTGAAATGTAAAAAATGTTATCAAAAACTGAAAAAATCAATATATTTTGCATAAAACCTGCATAAAATGATGTTAAGATAATTTATTAACACCAAGACTCACTTCAAATAGCAAACTGAAAATAAATATAATTTATGAAATTGATAAAGTAAAATTTTGTAATTATGCTTTATGCTAAAAATCACAACTGCAAAATTAAAATTACTAAAGTACATTTTTTGATAAATTATGATAACGATAACTAACAATGATAAATTAAAGTAATACTTACTTTTAAAGTATCTACAAAAAATATTTTCACTGTACTATCAAGAAGTGATATAGCTATTAGTTTTCCATTTGGGCTAAATTTCAAAACAATGAATGTAAAAATATATTAAAATATTAAAAAACTTATTTGTTTATTTTAGAATTAAATATAAATATTGTATATAGAAAATATCAAGGGTTGAGTGATAAATAAGGCCTTCATCTTTATAAACTTAGTTTGGAAACAGGTAGAATAATATGATCAAAAAGTAGTGAGTCATTTATTTTAATCATATATATTCATTTTTTCAACCTAATCACCGTTTAATGTGACACAGTTTTCCAAATGTTAAGTCTATCTTTGATTTCTGTTCATGAAGAAACTGATATTTTCCCAATCTGTTCCCCTACAACAGGGTTGAACTTTGGCATCTGATGAAAAGCATTGATCTTTCAATATAATTCTGAGAACAATTAGTCTGATGGTGTCAGATCTGAGCTGTAAGGAGGGTATAGAATAACTTGTAGTTTTAGTTTCTTAAGAATCTTTGCTGTTTTATTAGTGAAGTCTTGAATTATCATGGTGCAAAAAAAAACACAAAAAAGATTAGACAACAAGCAATGCACCAAAATTTTTAACTCAAAAAAAAACTTAGTTTTTTTTGGTATGAAATGAACAAAATTTTTAATAATTCACATATTTTTGATTTTTCAAAATATCATCTTCAGGAAAACAACAAATCAACCAGAGTACATGAATTGGAACAAATTTAAAATTTTAAATACAGTATGTTCCAATTCATGTACTCTGGTTTGTTTGTCATTTTCCTAATGATGATACTTTGAAATATCAAAAATGTTTGAATTATTAAAAATTTCATTCATTTCACACCAAAGAAACTAAGTTTTCTTTTTAAGTTAAAAATAATATTCTTTCTGGCTTTAAGGCTGGTTAACACTATATATATATTTGTCTAGCACAACATATTCCAGTACAGCATTGCCATAGCAACAAATATTTTCAGATGGCAAATTCATGCACTGTACTATATTGTCACANAAGCCTAACAAAGACTATTGTATCGTTAAAAATTATTTTTTTATTTTGTACAAACAAAATAAATATATTGAAAAATATAAAAACAATAAAAAATTATACTTCAGATGTTAATTTAGTATCAAAAACATAAAATATTTGAGTAGCCCAAGACATAGCCAAAGATTGAAGCTCCACAGCACTGGCGAAAATTTAAATTTGCCGACTGGAAATCTTTCGGATGATTGACTTTTGGAAAATCGACGCTCTACTGTATTTTCACATATCTCATATAATGTAATTTCCATGCAGATGAAAGACACCGTGCATCTTTATGATTGATGCAAAGATGATATCTGGCATTCCCATATATAATTAACTTTCCAACTATTTTACCTGTTTAATTTCTGGTGGCTCCTACATGCTTCACCTAATTGAAATATGGAGTTTTCTTAGGGACAGAGAACATAATGTCTAATTCTGTGGTGCATTTTACACATCATATTCATGTCCTTTAATTCTGGTAGGTAGATCCATGATATGTAGCCTATGGTCTACCTCCTTCAGATTTTATCCCTAGAGACTGGGGACCACATTGAGCAGTATCCCCTGCATTGCTAAGCTATCTGTATGGCATGAATATCTTGTCCAAATAAATGTTTACTGTTTGCATCATCAAAAGCGCCAAAGTTGTGAGTTTTGGTACTAATTTTTTTTTTCTTTTTT